TAGAGATCTCGCAATCTCCAGCAAAACACAGTGTTGCCGCGGGTTACCACGGCAACACTGTGACACATCAAGTGCCGGAGATCTCGAGATCTCTACTCCATGGTCTGCAGCTGGCGAAGCTGCAGACCGGAGGCAGTGGCAGACTAGATACCTAGCTCACTGGATCACCAGGGAGGAGACCACTGGACCACCAAGGCATGGATTACACAAAAAAAAGTATTTAAGCCACAGCCAGGGCTGGTGCTTCCTATAAGCTAAGTAGGCAGCCGCCAAGGGCGCTTCTTAAAGGGTTACAGTGGCTTTACTGCTTGTCTAGCGTCCCCTCCCCCATCAAGTTGAATTGATTATATAGAGCTGGCCGCGTTACCGGGCACTAGGGGGCACTAACTTGTAGGCCAGTGCCCGGTAGAACGTCGGTCAAGCATTCACCTCAGCCTGCAAAGTCAGGACCCCTCACAGCCAAGCACCGTGGCAGCTCAAGGGCGCATCATTCACTTGCTCCCGCCCCTTGCCCTGTACGTGGGGACCAGTGGGCAGGAGAATAACAGGAAATGGGACTGGGAAAAAGGTGTCGGCCGCCAGGCGCAGTAAAGAAGACAGGAACGAAGAGCAAAGTGCAATGCAGGTAAGAGAGAACTTGCAGTGTATCTCAGTCTGTGTCAGTCAGTCAATATGTTTGTGTATGTCAGTCTACACATGGGTCTGTTTGTGTGTATGTATGGGTCTGTATGTGTGTATGTATGGATCTGTGTGTGTGTATTTATGAGTCGGTGTGTGTGTGTCTAATATGTATCGGTCTGTGTATGTATTGGTCAGCATGGGTCAGTGTGTGTGCGTATGTATGGGTCAGTATATGTGTTTATGAGTCAGTGTGTATGTACTGTGTCTATGGGTCAGTGTGTGTGTGTTTATATGTGTGGTCAGTGTGTGTCCGCATGGGTCAGTGTGTGTGTGTTTATATGTGTGGTCAGTGTGTGTGTCTGAATGGGTCAGCCTGTGTGTGTATTGGTCAGTTTAGGTAAGTCTGCATGAGTGGGTGGAACAAATGGGGTGGCAAAATATTTTTGCAGAGGGCGGCAAAAATCCTTGCAATGGCCCTGGCCACAGCCTCCCCACCTGCTACTCCCCCCACTGCCACCATCCCCTCACACTACCACCCCCACAGCTGTCATCTTCCCTCACACTACCACCACCCCCACTGTTACAACTTCCCACACTTTTACCACCACCCCCACTGTCACTATCCCCCCATTGTCACCACATCACTATCATCATCACCCCCACTGTCACCACTTCCCACACCGTCACCACCACCCCCACTGTAACCATCCCCCTCATTATCACCACTTTCCACACTTTCACCAACATGCCCACTGTCAGCATGCACCCATTGTCACCACTTACCACACTGTCACCATCCCCCCCATTGTCACCACCATCACTGTCACCATCCCCCCAACTGTCACCAACACCCCCACTGTCACCATCCCCCCCATTGTCACCACTTCCCACGCTGTCACCACCACCCCCTGTAACGGCACCCCCCAGGCATAAAAGGGGTTAAAAGCCATTTAGGAGATATTCCCTTCCAGATATACAGGCAGCTACTCCATACATTGTAGAATATTGCATATTCTATATGTTCCTATTCAAATACATATTAAGGTGTGGCTGTCTAATGGGTTAAACAGAACAGATGGTGTTTGCTATTCTGTACCATGAGGTCTCTGGAATTTGCTGTATAAGAGATTTGAGGTGGTTTTTATATAGGGAACTTCCTTATATGGCAGAGTCTAAACTAAACGTTATGACGTAATTTGGGCTATATGGAGCCAAGGACAAGGGATTACACTCTCTTCCTGCTACGATCCGTTTTGCTCTCCTCTCTGATGTCAAGACGACTCTCTGTAACGTCGTTAAGAAATACCATCTGTTAAGTATATTATTGTTTGCTGTTGAATGTAGAATAAATACTTATTTTTTATAAAGAACGTCTGATTGCGTATTAGTACTTTTCAATAATATAGACATATATTATTGTGGCGAGCCTGACCCAAAAGAAGAAATATCTATATATATACATAAAAGACTTATTCAACTAAAGAAAAACACAGCCAGATATTACATAGGGCCCTTGACCACCTAAGGGGCACTAAGGGACAGGGGAGGGGATTGGGTGATAAGGAACACTATGGGACAGGGGAGGGGATTGGGTGATAAGGAACACTATGGGACAGGGGAGTGGGGGGAGAACACTATGGGACAGGTGAGGGGAGTGGGTGGTAAGGAACACTATGGGACAGGGGAGGGAAATGGATGGTAAGGAACACATTTTTTTTTCTTGTTTTCCTACTCTAAATATTAGGTGCGTCTTATGGTCAGGTGCGTCTTATAGAGCGAAAAATGCAGTATATACTTTATTTTTCTGTGTTATATATTTTCTTTGATTTATATTGATTTACAGTATATATTAATAAAGATCATATGGTAAAAGATATGCAAATGATTGCTGCAAAAAACTTACAAATAACTTGTGATTGGATAACTCGAGACAAGGTGCTACAGCTATTAAAGAAAATTAATGTAAATAAAGCTCCGGGGCCTGACGGTATTCACCCACAAGTACTTAAGGAGCTAAGTGGGGAAATAAGTGAACCTCTGTATTTCATTTTTCAAGATTCTTTTGTTTCAGGTGTTGTACCGGAGGATTGGAGGAAGGCAGATGTTGTTCCTATATTTAAAAAGGGTTCAAAATCCTTGCCTGGAAATTATAGACCTGTGAGCTTAACTTCTGTTATTGGGAAAATATCTGAAGGGCTATTAAGGGATAATATTCAGGAATTCATTGGGAAGAACTTTGTTATTAGCAATAATCAGCATGGTTTTATGAAACATGGGTCATGTCAAACTAACCTAATTTGCATTCTACGAAGAAGTAAGTAGAAGTATAGATCAGGGTGTTGCAGTGGATGCGATCTACTTGGATTTTGCCAAGGCATTTGATACGGTTCCTCACAATAGGTTAGTCTTCAAACTAAAAGAAATTGGTCTAGATGAATATTCTTGTTCTTGGGTAGAACACTGGCTTAAGGATAGAGTACAACAAGTTGTAATTAATGGTAAATTTTCAGGTTGGACAAAAGTGGTAAGTGGTGTCCCTCAGGGTTCTGTTTTGGGACCACTTCTATTTAACATATTTATAAATGATCTTGAAATAGGCATTGAAAGCCATGTATCAGTGTTTGCAGATGACATAAAACTTTGTAAAGTAATAAAATGTGAGCAGGATATTGCTTTGCTGCAGAGAGATTTGGATAGATTGAGGGACTGGGCACTAAAATGGCAGATGAAATTCAACATAGAGAAATGCAAAGTTATGCACTTCGGGGTTAAGAATGCACAAGCAACTTACACACTAAATGGTAGTGAATTACGGATAACCACACATGACAAGGATTTGGGAATTGTTATAGACAACAAATTAGGCAGCAATATGCAATGTCAATCTACAGTTGCTAAGGCCAGTAAGATTTTGTCATGTATAAATAGGGGCATAAATTCTCGGGATGAAAATATAATTTAGCTTCTTTATAAATCGCTGGTAAGACCACACCTTGAATATGTTGTGCAATTTTGGGCGCCTGTTCTAAAGAAGGATATCACGGCACTGGAGAGGGTCCAGAGACGAGCTACAAAATTGATAAAAGGAATGGAGCATTTTAGTTATGAAGAAAGGTTAAAAAAATTAAATCTGTTTAGTTTGGAAAAACGGCGCCTGAGAGGGGATATGATAACTTTATACAAATATATTCGGGCCAGTACAAACCTTTATCTGGAAATCTATTCATAAACAGGGTTATACATAGGACACGAGGTCACACATTTAGGCTGGAAGAAAGGAGATTTCATCTAAGGCAAGAAAAGGTTTTTTTACAGTAAGAACAATAAGGATATGGAATTCTCTGCCTGAAGAGGTGGTTTTGTCAGAGTCCATACAGATGTTTAAACTGAAATTGGATAAATACTTACAAAAACATAACATACAGGGATATAATTTCTTATTAGTGGGGTAATAGCTGCTTGATCCAAGGAGACATCTGACTGCTATTTTGGGGTCAAGAAGGAATTTTTTCCTAGTTTGTGGCAAAATTGGAAGCGCTTCAGACCAGGTTTTTTTGCCTTCTTTTGGATCAACAGCAACAACATTTGTGAGGAAGGCTGAACTTGATGGACGCAAGTCTCTTTTCAGCTATGTAACTATGTAACTATGTAACACGTTTATATGATTTGCTAGTTAACAAAGATCTTACCAACTGGATATCCTGATCGAAGGGGACTCCAAGTGGAGATTGGTGATAAGCTGTCATTTATTTTAATCTTGGGAGTGCATACTAATAAATAGAGGGATTGTATATGCAAATACATACTCTATGCGTCCCCCTTTTTATTTCTCTTCTTATATGATGCTGTTACATGTAGGCCTATGAAGAGTGAAGACAACTGTGGTGTATTATTTTGCCTACTATTAATATATTTTGTGAGTGTGATACTTATCGCAATTCCCATTAGATTTTAATGCAACAGTGTTACATTATTTTGAGTTTTAATTTTTTTGTAGATTTTGGTATTTTTTTTGTGTTTTTTTGTTAATCAGGTTTAGATTTTGGTGTTTTATATGTTTTATAAAGAGGAGTCTTTTTTATCTACATTAGTATAAGGGTAATTATAGTTGTTATCCTAGTTTTCTTCCACTGGTGCGTTTACAGTTTCTAGTGGGTATGTTTATTCTGTATGGTTTTCATACAAGTCAAACACAGCCCTGGCCATTCAGAATCTTCTCATAAAGATGAATTGAATCAATGAATCTCTATGAGGAAAGTTCAGTGTCTGCATGCAGAGGGTGGAGACACTGAATGTTTGGATGCATTTTAGGCAGCCATGACCCAGGAAGGATTTCTAACAGCTATCTGAGGAGTTATCACTAAGCTGTAATGTAAACACTTTATTTTCTCTGAAAAAAACAGTGTTTACTACAAAAAGCCTTAAGGGAATGATACTACTCACCAGAACTAATACAATAAGCTGTAGTTCTTCTGGAGACCATACTGTCCCTTTAAAGCTATATATCCGTATTTAAGTCACTATTTCTCAGTAAAGAAAGTCTGTAAAAAACTAAAATTACATTACATTACATGTATTATTGACACAGTCATAAAAACATAACATGAAGTACACACTTTACTATAATGAAATCTCACTGCAAGAACCAAAGAATATCAATAACTTGGAATGTAAACACATGGATCCATAGAAATGTTATAAAGGAACATAAAGATCTTTTAACTGAAAGAAAATGTTTGAGAGGGGTTTGAAACCACAGAGTCATCTGTCTCTCAGTCCACAACTATCTCACTAGACAAATTATCTTGTCCTGAAACAGTTCGGTTTGCTCGACCTAGAATGGTCTTCAGTTGGACCCAGAAGATTGGCTGCCGGTTCTGGTCTGAAGGCCACTCCAGATAAGTCTTTGCTTTGAGCATTTTTCTCAGCCTAAAGAACCGTTTTGGGAGATCCTCGAAGCTGACATTTTCCTTAACCACTAGGATGACATCTTCAAATGCATGTCCAATGTTCCTTTGGTGGGCAAAGTAAAGCTCGTAATTGCACCATTCGCTGTTAACAAAGCTGCGTGAGAGCACAAAGATGATCTTGCGGCTGTTTTCGATGTTGTCAATGATGTTGTCAATAATCCATTTCCCAGGGAGAAAGTCCCTCTCATGTATGCACAGCTTGTAACGTGGAGTGGAATTCTCCAAACGAGATAACAGCACTTCCCTCACCCAATCTGCATCCAAATAGCTGTACGAGATAAAGGCATGATAAACATATTCTCTGTTGTCCTCCCTTTTCTTGGAGCGATATTTTGAACGGATAATTTTGCACGTGGCTCTCAGGTACCACGGAACATTATACTTCCAACATAGGATCATGCAGATAATAACTACTACAGCAGTAACAGCCACTGATATAGCTACCACCAAACCCACATCACACTGTAATTTTCCAGGATTAAAATACTCAATTTTAGTCTCCACAAGGTTCTGTGGATGATAGCAATAATAAGAATCTGGCCAGTCAAGTAGTGATATATTTTTATCGGAGAGGGTCTCTGTGATGAAGGCATATAAGTCACAATTGCAATAGTATGGGTTGTTTCCTGCAGTTAGATTTTGTAGATTCAGCAAATATTTAAATGAACCCCCATCAATTACTCCAAAGGAATTGCCTTCTAGAGCCAAGACTTCAAGACTCAAACTCTTCCAACCTGTGGGTATAAATTTGATTTTATTGTTACGGAGAATCAATACACGCAGGTTGTTGGCTTGGTTGAAATAATTCATATTTAAGTGCTCTAGCTGAGAATTAGACATGTCCAAATACTCCAGAGTAAGGGGCAGGCACGGAGAAATATCGTGAATCAATGCATTGTTGTGTAAAATAAGAGTTGTTATTTTAGAAGGCCATATGCAAGACTCAGTGCAGCTCTCAATATTGTTAAAACTAAGATCAACAACGGAGAGGTTGGACCATGTGGTAATTAACAAAGAAATTGTTCTGAGGCTAGTCATTGTATTGTCACTAGCATTGAACGTCTTGATTGCAGGTAATGAAAGTTGGCAGGTTGGATTGTACAGATACCTGGCCAAAAGACGGTTTCCTGTGATGTTAAAGCTTTCTAAATTAGTCATGTGATTCCAAGCAACACATGGGACAAAATTAAAATTAACATTGATGATGTGCAAATTTCTGATGTTGCTGAACCAAGTAAAAGTCCAATCAAATCTCAAAATGTCTGGATTGGTAACATCCTGAATGACCAAATTTTCCAGTGACAGATTTTCAATTGTGTTGTCAGTCTTGTTGAAGTTTGGAGAACGGGCAAAATCTACAGACAGCAATAAGAGATCATTGATATTATATGGCTTTCCAATGTTTTTCAAGATCAAATAAAGAAGGTACTCATTGAACTTCCCTCGGTAAAAGGTCAGGGAATCAACACCAACATCTTTTAGGTAAGAGAAAATATCCATGCTTTCTGTGTAATAAGTGAACTCGAACAAATTTCGGAAACGCATATTCTCAAAGGATTTCCCAGCCAAATCTTTTAAGATGAGAGGAAGAGCACCTGCATACATATCCAATGTAATATCAAACCATATATCACGTGTATTCACCATGCTGAATGCCCCCACTTCATAAGCCTCTAGGCTAGACTGAGTTTTTAAGGCAAATCTTTCTAGTTCAATGTCCTTAATGGGAACAAAGTCATCTTTCAATATTGTCTTTATCATTGGGCCACCAAATGATAACTCCTTGAGGTTCACCAATTTTGTAAACACATTTCCAAGAGTGGAAGAGTTGTAGAAATTATTGGACATTTTAAGAATTTTCAAACTCTCAAGAGGTTCCAGCAGCTCAGATGGCATCTCAGTCAAAGAGTTGTTAAACAAACTAAGGTTCTCCATAAGTATATTTGTTTTAAAAGAACCATTGTCTATAATGGATATATTGTTGAAGTTCAAGTTTAATATCTTTAAATTGTATAAATGATAAAAGTCCTCCTTTTTAATTTTGGTGAGTTTGTTGAAGGATAGATCCAGGTTCTCAACATCATGAGAGATATCTGTTGGCACTTGCTCAAGGTTCAGGCGAGAGCAGTCGACAAATTTCTTCCCAATATCAATTTTACATGCACCCTCGGCAAGGTTAACGATCAGGAAACATATTAACAGAGTGCTCCCATTGGGCTCAACCATATCTATGTTCTTCACATGCTCTGAAAAAAGATTTATTTTTTTAATACAACACAAAATACAGTATGCACAAGACATTAAAACAATTACTTGGTTCACGGGGAGCCAATGTGGTCTGAAAACGTCTTAAAGAAAAATCATTAGTCTGCTATTTGGGTTGCCATAACTATAAACAACCAAACAATATTGATATTGTCAGGATTCACTCACCAATTGCTAGTGGGGGGCAAGTTAAAATTTTTAGCCCTTTATTGAGCCATTCCAAACTCAAAGCATTTATCAGCCCAATACAGTTTCAGCTGAAATAATGTAATATACTCATGTATTTAATACTAATGACATTAACACTCGTATTATGTTCTAACAACAAGTAATTTTACCTACAGCATTATGATATGTTTGTAAGGAGGCAGGAGCCAATTTCACTTTCCGAGTCAATTCTGGGCGCTTTTTACAATAAACCCCCATGTGTTCGGCAATAGCTTTTTCTCTACTCAAGGGATTTAATCATGACCTTCTTAATATGTTTTTTATAAAATAATTCCTTACCACCTTATCCTGCTATTTTCTGTTTTATGTACAAAACAAAGCCACAGCGAGGTGTGTGTGTGTCAGCCCATCTGTCCTATTTATGCAGACCATATAAGACATAACAACATGGGCTAGATTTAATCCAATAAGCAGACACTTTCATTGTGCTATCTAACAAAATAAATAGCCAACTTCCAAAACCCCAAAAAACTAATGTCCTTTCTTTAGATAGGATACTAAAGAGTTTGTTGCAGGAAATACTTTGCTGGGTAATTTGGCCTCACGTCACTCCTTAAACTAAATTGCAAGATTTAGGCAACAAAAAGTAATTTTGAAAACATTCTCCCACTCAGCAATAGTGACTTTAGTCCTAATTTTACAATTTATTTTTCACTTGGCCCCAACAACTCCCCCTCCTGTTTCAAGGGAGATCTACATTTTAAATTCTTCTTCTTTTGTTTCCTGTTGTACATTGGACAATACTGCAATATCCAGTGATGTGCTGTTGTTTATTATAAACCGTTTGTGTCTGTATCATATTGTTCCCATTTGCTTACTACTGTATTTGCTCAAATATAAGATGAGTCTTTGCCAGAAGCTCAATGAAGCAAGGTATATGGTTAGAGTTAGGACCCACCTAAGAGGTCTGCCTTGACGTGACAGGTGGGCAAACCCTCTCATGGCCATTGGAGGCAAGTAAAAACCTCCATTTGTTTAAAAATAGATAGATGTTTAAAGAGCGCAGGTAACTTTTTTTCTTTGGTCTTAAAATAGAGGCTGACTGAGCGGAGTGTGGAGGTGGGTGGCTCATGGCGAGCGCAGGCAGGCAGCACCTGAATTAGCGTGCAGGCCACAAAGGAGCTGAAGCCCATGGGGATAGCACAGCTTTGGGAATAGGGCCCTGACAGGGCTAGGAGGCGGGCTAAGGGGTGGGAGCAGTAAGGGACTGGAAGAGCAGTGCTTGGGGGTTGGCTGATATAAATGGGCAGCCATTTTATGATCGCTCACTCTAATTTCTTACCTAGCAGAGTTGGTCCCTCCCTCCCTTTGTTATTTCCCCACTTGGTCACAGCGGCGGGGTGGGGTAAGGAACATTAAGGATAATGGGCCTTAGTTAAGAGAGGAGTAAGGGGAACTAGTTAATTGGTTAGTTGATTGGTTAAAATGGTACACAGTTTGTACATGTTTTGGTAGGTTTCGAGTCCGTTGGTGGCTCAGAACCTCGGTGGTGTTCCGAGTCCATTGGTGGCTCAGAACCTCGGTGGTGTAGGGGTATCTGGGTATACCCCTAACAGGAAATTGATCAATGTTGATATGCTACATGTTATATATTATATGATGGTTGTATATTGGAAATGTATTATGTGGTGGGTCATTACCGTGATGTAAATGTGGAAAAGATGATGCGAGAGCTGGGGCGTGGCAGGTAATGACCATATATATATATATATTTATTGTTATCTTATCATTAAAGCTGTGGACAATTTAACCCATAACCCTAAGTGTCAGTGTCGTATTGGGTGGTTGAGTTCAAGTCATATATCCCTCCCCCTGCCCATATGGCGACTATGCACCTCTCATGTAATCTCACCCACGCGATCCTCCAGTGATGCTGGAAGCCGGAATATTACATAATTCTGGCCCTGCATCACTAAACACCACTCTAAGGATCAGACCAGGGAGATGACAGGAGCCCCACTGGAACCTAGGGAAAGACACATTAAAATAAAACAAATACTTTGTAAGTGAGTGTGAGTGTTGCAGTATCAGTGTGTGTCTGTCAGTGAGTGTGCTTCTATCAGTGAGTGTCTGTCAGTGAGTGTGTCTATCAAATCAGTGAGTGTCTGTCAGTGAGTGTGTCTGTCTGTCAGTGAGTGTGTGTATAAAATCTTGTGTGTCTGTCAGTGAGTGTGCATGTTTAGGTGACCTGCCCTCCTCCAATCACATGGGAAAGGTTTTTACTCACCTTTTTTCCCAATGCGACTTAAAAAATATATTAATCGTCATTGAAAAATATAATATTAATAAAGATTTTTATTTAAATGCAATGTCGGTTTCTAGGTAGCCACTAACTGCAGCTACATACATAGAACACTTTTCTCTTACAAATGGCAAAAACATTTTTGTAATAAATAATCTTTCACTTAAACCTATTCATTAACAGTGCCGGAGCATTATTATTTCATAATAATCTATATATTAATTTAAACTAGCTAATGGTTGAAAGTTAGAATAAATGTTTTTTTCTACCTTGTGTACTATATAATTATAATTAATCACTGCAAGACTTCTTTTTTCTTGCACAGCAGGTAATCCTCCATGATTATAGCACATCATAAACAGATCGCATCGTGTTTGACTTTTACGAAGGTCTTTCGGAGTTTGATAACATCTGACGGATTTTGGCCTGGGTTAAAGGCATAACATATTGTGACAACATGGCAGCAAGACGTCTCAAAGAACCTGCATAGAATGAAAGAAACAAAAACACACATTAGATAGTATGATAGACAGGCAGACAAGTATATTTATATTTAACTCTTTCACATGTTGACAAAAATGACATTGACTTTGAAGAGAGCTAAATACTAAAATGTTGCTAGAAAAAGATATTTGAAATGAATGCGGTTTTACATGCTTGCCAACCCACTACTATATCAAATTGCACGGGTAACCCTCCAGGCATTCGTTTACAGCTTTTATGAACCGGTTAGAAAGACCGGCCAAGTATGAGACCCAGGAAAAATACAGAATGTCAGGGGCTCTCCAAATAGAAAATCGTGTTTCAATTCAAGAAAGCAATGCAAAAAAATACCCTCATTATTATAAATTACATATCTGTCTGTTCCAATACTATGAATAGGTTAAAGATTTTTAGTGTGATTTTTTTTTTTTTAAACTAATGAATGAAGATAAAAATCTCAGGACAGCAAAACGTAATACATTTATATAAATGCCCTTATGTATGAAACAAATACAGAAAAAAAATAAACTGAATTACTCACAAAACTGCAAAGTGTCAGGAATTCAAACTTGACTTTTAAAATAACCAGAATTAAAAAAATTCTAGAAGTCAGCTATCTTTTCTTTTAGTGCCTGTGGCCTAAAGTTGAAATTTACATTGAATTCACTTTGACTAGGTAAAAATTGATCATGCACACATTTGTGATAGTGCGTTAAAAGAACACTATAGGGTCAGGAATGCAAACATGTATTCCTGACTCTATAGTGTTAAAAACACTATTTAGCCCCTCCCCCCACCACTATCCCCCTTTAAAGAGGGTGGAAACACACCATATTTCCAACACCGTCGCTTGGCTCCGTCTACTTGGCTGACATAATCACAGTTGATAATCTCAGCCAATCACAATGCTTTCCCATAGGAAAGCACTGGATAGGCTGATATTTCCAAGGAGGCGGGCCAGGGGTGGGACCAAATGCCCTGCTGGCCAATAAGTATCTCCTCATAGGGTTGCATTGACTCAACACATCTGTTTGAGGAAAGTTCAGTGTCTCCATGCAGAGCATTGTGCAGCACTGACCCAGGAAACACCTCAAATATCCCTAGGCAGCAATGTAAACGCTGCCATTTTTCTGAAAAGACAGTGTTTACAGCAAAATGCCTGAAGGGACGACTATACTTACCAGAATAACCACATTAAGCTATAGTTGTCCTAGTGACTATAGTGTCCCTTAAAGGTTTGTTAGAGATGGGTGGCCCAGTTTTTTTGCTCAGGGTGCCCATCTTACTGACTTCTTGAGAAGAATGTGGATTTAAAGCAGACATGCCTTTGTATGGAGTTGCAAAAGAGGACTTCCAGAAGTTAAAAAAAAAAAATTAACAGTGAACTGTAAATCCTGGTTTGACTACCAGAGACATGATCAAGACTAAAAAGGGTATATTTTTATACAGTCTGTGAAATTCACTAAAATGGCCACTGTGGTAAACGGACAAGGGAATTATACATTTGAAGCCAGAATAATCTTAACTGAAAAAATAAAATCCCCTAATTTGGCTTTAAACAACCTCATCGATTCACCACAAAGTGTGTTGCACACTGTAGACCAAAATTGCGTTTTTTTCTACTTAGGTAATATATTTCGTAAAAATCAAACTGTGGCTTTTCAAGAATACTAAACATAAATAACAAAATAAATGAATTAAAAATAATAATAATATTATATATACATACAGTAGCTCACAAAAGTAAGTACACCCCTCACATTTTTGTAAATATTTTATTATATCTTTTCATGTCACAACGCTGAAGAAATGACACTCCGCTACAATGTAAAGTAGTAAGTGTACATCATGTATAACAGTGTAAATGTGCTGTTCCCTCAAAATAACTCAACATACAGCCATTAATGTCTAAACAGTTGACAACAAAAGTGAGTACACCCCTAAGTGGAAATGTGATCATATGAAGCCATTTATTATCACATAGTTGTTTGGCTCCATTTTAAATCAT